TTTTATAATCATTTTTGCTGCTCCTGTGGGTAAAAGAAAATAGTTCCAGATTATGACATAGTGGCCTATTACTGGAAAAAGATGCAGGTACTGATATGTGAGAAAGACCTGCATAAAGTGCAAAGTCATTGTGATCAAATAGTTAAATAGTTACTTGGATGAGATGCTGCATCCATAGAACAATCTCTCAAAAAAATCAGTGAGCAATTTTACAAGAAAAGACTGTGGAAAAAGGAAAAGAAAAACAATTGCCACATCAGTTTTTTTTTAAAAGCACAGTGAACATTTTTACTTTGCTTTTATCATCTTATTAATGACAATTTGAAAACACATCACATTGATCTTTGGATATTGATTATGTCAATCTTTGAGTTGTAACATTGAGTTAGTTTTTAAAAAAAATTGCCGTTGGTATTGGTCTCCTGCCACACCTAGTCTCATATTCCACTTTCTGCCTGCAAAATAAATCAAGGATGGAAAGTAAATGCACAGGACAATCATCATTACTCTCACCATCCTGATGTCTTTCTTGATGCTGGCAAATTTATTCCATATGTTTATGATTGTCTTCTCAATTTTTGGATACAACATTGGCACACTATATCCTTTTTCTTATATGGGGATGTGGGCATCATTGGCAATGCCAGCATTTTTTGCTCATCCCTAGTTGAAAATCAACAATGTTATTGTGTGACCTATAGTCTCAAACAGGCCAGACAGGGTGATGACAGGTTTATTACATTGTCATCATTCGACTTGCTTTTAATTCCAACATTTTTTGTTATGTACATATTTCACCATCTGCTATGGTGGGTTTCAAACCCATGTCGCCAGAACATTAACCTAGATCTCTGGATAACTATGCCAGAGATTTTATCACAATGTCACTACCTGAACTTACTAACAGAAAAGACAAAACTTGTCAATTACTCATACAAATGCCTTGAATTCTGATGAAGGGTTTTTTTTATATAGAATCCCCACACTGTGGAAACAGGCCATTTGGCCCAACAAGTCCACACCAACCCTCCAAAGACCATCCCATCCAGACCCATCCCCCTACTCTATCCCTGTAACCCTGCATTTACCATGACTAACATACCTAACCTACACATCCCTGAACACTATGGGCAATTTAGCATGGCCAGTCCACCTAACCTGCAAATCTTTGAACTGTGGGAGGAAACCGGAGCACCCGGAGGAAACCCACGCAGACACGGGGAGAATGTGCAAACTCCACACAGACAGTCGCCCGAGGGTGAAATCGCACCCAGGCCCCTGGTTCTGTGAGGCAGTGGTGCTAACCACTGACCCACCATGCTGCCCGGTTATTGATCTGTAATGGGAACAGGATTTTGTGGGGCCTGCAAGTATGGGAAACATGCCTTGCAGCGTGACCCAATTACATTGGAGCCAAAATGTTGATTTCGTGACAGTGGATTGAAACTTAAAAGATTCAATCACTCAGACAGTGGTGTATTTGTGGTGTTTTCAGCCTCATGTTAGAATGTGGTGGGCTCCCATTTTTATTGCAATTTCATGCCTCCAGTATTCATTAGTGTAAAACCTTTAATAATGATATTCTACCTTCTACCTGATCGAGTCTACCTGAAGCACAAGAATCTTGTGGCACCCAGTTCACATCTGTTCATGCAACAGTCAGCTTGGTGTAATTATATCTAACGTCAGTAGCTTTCCTTGTTTAACCGTGTGGCATAAGGGAGGGGTGCAAGAGAAAGCCAAACAGCATGGAGGCAGAGGACTGTGAAGGATGAGTCTTTGGCAGAGAGGAGGGATATGGAGTCGGTTCAGAGCAAGGCGGGGTAGAAGAAGGATCCAGGGAAGAAAACGGCTGAGGTTTGGGGACATAGTGGAGTGAAGTGCGAAAGGCCTCAAGGTTTTTTTTAAATTCATTCACAGGATGAGTGCGTTGCTGGCCAGGCCAGCATTTATTGCCCTTCCCTAATTACCTAGTGGACATTGCTGTGGAGACACATATAGGCCAGACCAGGTAAGGATGGCAGTTTCCTTCTCTAAAGGACATTAGCGAAACAGATGGGTTTCTCTGACAATCGACACATGGTCATCATTAGACTAAATAAAAACCAAAATAACTGTGGATGCTGTAAATCCGGAACAAAAACAAAGTTGCTGGAAAAGCTCAGCAGGTCTGGCAGCATCTGTGAAGGAGAAAACAGAATTAATGTTTCAGGTCCAGTGACCCTTCCTCAGTAAAAAGGGAACTCAAATCCACATGATCATTTCTTTCACAATAAAGAAATGACCCTACCTCCCCCATAACCATCAAATTGTGCTAGTACATTGAGCTCACTGAGCCAGTCTCAACAAATAACAATGATACACACATGGATAAAGTGAACCCAATGTAACATGAAATATTTACAAGTGAAACTCAAGTTTGGAAGACATTACACACCAACTTTGTGCTCTCAATAAGTCCTTTGTTGCTGGGAATGGAGTTGGGCAGGAATGTTGTAAGTGTAATGCAGAGTTTCCCTGTTCTTCCAGGAGGATCTTCCCACCCTTATCTACTGCATTGTCAACAGATGGCAGATTTCATCACTGGAAACCTTCCCATGGTACACGGTTCCATGTGACTCCTGTGCATGCTGCTGGGAGTTTAAATTTTAATAGAATTGCATGGGAACTGGCAAAAAGCAAGAAAGCAGAAGTGGGAGATGATCACTTTTACTGTTCTGCCAGCAGTAATGCTGTGCCATTGTTAAAGTTTGTGCCAACAGTTCATAAGAAGCACATCATGAGCACAAAGGGGGTAGCCATGGGTACCCGCATGGGCCCAAGCTACGCCTGCCTCTTTGTAGGTTACGTGGAACAATCCCTCTTCCATACCTACACCTGCCCTAAACCCCACCTCTTCCTCCGTTACATTGATGACCGTATCGGCGCCGCCTCGTGCTCCCACGAGGAGCTCGAACAGTTCATCCACTTCACTAACACCTTCCACCCCAACCTTAAGTTTACCTGGACCATCTCTAACACCTCTCTCCCCTTCCTGGACCTCTCTGTCTCCATATCGGGCAACCACCTAGAAACCGATATTCATTTCAAGCCCACCGACTCCCACAGCTACCTAGAATACTCCTCCTCCCACCCACCTTCCTGCAAAAATGCTATCCCCTATTCCCAATTCTTTCGCCTCCGCCGCATCCGCTCCCAGGATGAGGCATTCCACTCCCGTACATCTCAGTTGTCCTCGTTTTTCAAGGACCGTAACTTCCCCCCCTTGGTGGTCGAGAACGCCCTCAACCGTGTCTCCCACATCTCCCGCACCTCATCCCTCACACCCCGTCCACGCAATAAGAACCAAAAAAGAATCCCCCTCGTCCTCACGTACCACCCCACCAACCTCCGGATCCAACGCGTCATCCTCCGACACTTCCGCCATCTGCAATCCGACCCCACCACCAAAGACATCTTTCCCTCCCCACCCTTATCTGCTTTCCGGAGGGACCACTCTCTCCGTGACTCCCTTGTCCGCTCCACACTCCCCTCCAGCTCCACCACACCCGGCACTTCTCCCTGCAACCGCAGGAAGTGCTACACCTGCCCCCATACCTCCTCCCTCATCCCCATCCCAGGCCCCAAGAAGACTTTCCACATCAAGCAGATGTTCACCTGCACATCTGCCAATGTGGTATACTGCATCCGCTGTACCCGGTGTGGCTTCCTCTACATCGGGGAAACCAAGCGGAGGCTCGGGGACCACTTTGCAGAACACCTACGCTCGGTTCGCAATAAACAACTGTACCTCCCAGTCGCGAACCATTTCAACTCCCCCTCCCATTCCTCAGACGACATGTCCATCCTGGGCCTCCTGCAGTGCCACAACGATGCCACCCGAAGGTTGCAGGAACAGCAACTCATATTCCGCTTGGGAACCCTGCAGCCTAATGGTATCAATGTGGATTTCACAAGTTTCAAAATCTCCCCTCCCCCTACCGCATCCCAAAACCAGTCCAGCTCGTCCCTGCCTCCCTAACCTGTTCTTCCACCTATCCCCTCCTCCCACCTCAAGCCACACCTCCATCTCCTACCGACCAACCTCATCCCGCCCCCTTGACCTGTCCGTCCTCCCTGGACTGACCTATCCCCTTCCTAACTCCCTACCTACACTCACCTTTACTGGCTCCATCCCCGCCTCTTCGACCTGTTTGTTTCCTCTCCACCTATCCTCTCCTCTATCCGCCTCCCACTCGCTCCCTATTTATTTCAGAACCCCCTTCCCCTCCCCCTTTTCTGATGAAGGGTCTAGGCCCGAAACGTCAGCCTCTCTGCTCCTGTGATGCTGCTTGGCCTGCTGTGTTCATCCAGCCCTGCACCTTGTTGTCTCGGATTCTCCAGCATCTGCAGTTCCTACTATCTCTCTCACATCATGAGCCCAGATAATATTTTATTATTTATTAATATAACCTCTTAGTCAAAGTTAGCTAGCTGCTACTGCAAATCATTTTTGTTGGCTTCATAGCAGCCTACAAATGACCCGTAACCATGTTCTGTACAACTTCCTTAAAGTAAATTGCATCAAATTAAATATTTTTGATACCCCACCCCCATCCATCCACCCATCCGCCCGCCCACACACACAAACTGTTTGATTTTTTTTTCAATTACATCAGAAAAAAGCTAAAGGCAATTGGGAATCTTTTGGATTCTTCTTTCTTCTAAATCCAATACTGCCCACTACAGGAACAATGGAATGGATTATACTATTTGCATGAGCATTACTGCTATTAGTTTAAAACCAAGTCATTTACAACTGTTCAGCCAAGCAATAAAAGTGTCATCTTATTGGCGTGTTGAGGGGAGATCAGCTGCTAGTGCAGAAGATAATGGCAGTCTAATGACATTAAATTGTCCTTTGTGACAACTTCATGGGATTTGAAATCCTACTAATTCCCACATGATAAAATTAGTAGCAGCTCAGTACAGTTGACTGATTTCAGCTGTGTGTTCTCTAAAATCCACACAATGTGCAAATCATGTGACCTTAGTGTTATACAAACATACTTAGCACTGACAGGCTGTACTGCTTTGTAACAATCAGCTTTTATAAATTATTTAACATTGAGAAACAGTTTTATGTTACTTTTTTCCTCCACATCATGGCATCTTTTCTTTTCATTATCTATCACACGGTAAGTTTTACAATTTGATGAAAGTTGAAAAACTGTTTATACTATGATGTTAAAGCTAAAACCTAAACAATGTTAATAGCTCATAAACTGAAATACTGTCAACAGAAGAAAAAAGTAATTAGAATTTACTGATCAAGTGGTTATTGTAAAACACAGTGTACCACTCGAAAAGATAATGAGGAAATGATTTGCATTTTATGACAACTTTTATAATGTCATCAAAGTACTTTGAATGAAGTACTTTGAAATATAAATCATAGCTCATAGAATCCGTATGGTGTGGAAGCAAGCCATTCAGCCCAACAAGTCCACACCGACCCTCTGAAGAACATCCCACCCACTCCCATCCTCTAGCCCATCCCTGTAACCCTGCATTTCTCATGGCTAATCCATCTAGCCAGCACATATCTGGACACAATGGGGCAGTTTAGCATGACCAATCCACCGAGCCTACACACCTTTGGACTGTGGGAGGAAACCCACGCAGACACGGGGTGAAATTGCAAACTCCACACAGATAGTTACCCGAGGGTGGAATCAAACCCCGATCTCTGATGCTGTGAGGCAGCAATGCTAACCACTGAGCAATCACTGTTGTTAAAAGAATATGCAGCGGCCAATCTGCACACAGGAACCTCTAACAAGCAGTAAAGGGATAATGACCATAAAATCATTTTTAAGTGGTTTTGGATGAGGTATAAATATTGGCCTGGACACTGGGATGATAGCCTTGTTTTCTTCAATATAATGCTGTGGCATATTTTACATTAAGCTAAGAGAATAGACATGGCCAGGTTCAGTATCTTCTCAGTAGTGTACTTGAGTACCAGTCTAGATTTCTGTGTTCGAGCCTCAGGTATTGGGTTTGACCCTTAAATGTTCTGGCCATTCCTCCAAACTGTGGAGACCATGCTGATACAGCTGGTGACATCAGGCTCAGCCTCCTCTGCCAGTCAGTTGAGAAAACGATGCCCATTCTCTGTACCACCATGATATTTAGGTCCCTTTGGAATGCCAGTGCCTGACTGAGCACACAACAGCCTTTTAAAGGTGGTGTGGGGCCAAGGATGTCAGTCTTTTGCCAGATACCCAATGAGTAGAGAATTGTTCTGGTACAGGGGATGGTAGGATCAAGTAAGAGGGACACCATAGGGGCAAGGTAGGTAGTTAATGAGGTGTGTTTGATAAGGTACAGTGAGGTATCTTGATGGGCCTCAAGGAGAGAAACCTTCTATGAAATTAGATGAAACTGATACTTAACCAAAAAAAAAGGATTCAGCCCAAGTGTATTCCCTATTTTTCTTCAAATAATTCTTTGCAATCATTTAATTCTATTTGAACAGGCAGAGTTTTAGATAAACTGATAACATTGCCAACCCTATCAATCCTGCATTGCCCAAAATCAAATGCTACCAATAGTTATCATGAATGTAGAATGATCTGCAGTGGTGAACTGGTTTACACTGAACTCAGATGGAGAACTGTTCAATTATTGAAATCAATGTAGTGTCCACTTAATTTACCATGCAAGTACACTTGTGATAGTTAAATTACTGCGTGTCTATAATGAAAATATGAGATCTAGTATTATTCTTTAATTATTCTTTAACTCTTCAGTCTAAAGTGAGCAATGGATTGTGTCTTACAGAATGGAAATCTTCAAGTACAGTTTGGAATATCTGATCTGACCTCAAACTTATTCTGTATGTTGAGCTTCTAAAATTCGTTTTTGTTAGTTAAGACAAGACCATTTGCACAATGTAAAGTATGCTTCTGGGCAGGGTCATGAAAGAGTGATTAAGCTTACAATTTGGAAGCTGAACTATATTGTTAACGAGTGGCTCTTTAAGATGTGTTCCATTAATGTAATTGTATCATTTGATAAAATTAGCCTCAAGTATTCACTGTTACTGGGGAAGGTCTATTTAAGGGTATATAACTTCATAGGTAATTGAACACAATTAATTAAAAGATTGTTAATTATTTTATAATATTCTAGTTAACACTTTTAAACTCTTACAAGGGTAGATAGTATTAGACACAAGTTCAGCTCTCTCACTTGGCTGAATTTCGAGTATAATGTATTAAATTATCATTTACAGCTCACATTTTACTTGACCTTCTCACTTGCTTCAAAAAGGTTCCGAGATTAGAAATATTTACCTTTTGAGATTTTGCATAGCTCTGCTTTATCCTTGGGTTTCAAATTCCAATCCCTCCGTTCCAGGATTCACTGATTAACAATGATACTCTTTCTAAATAGATATTTCAAGGATAAACTTATCCATTGTTCAATATTTTGAGGAATAATTACGTGTGGCTTTAATGAATTGTCATGGAGCAAATCAAAACTGGAGAAGACTTGCTTTTACTTCTAATCTTTAGATGTTAATAATTATCTAAACATTGCTCAAACTATAAAATTTTATGATGTATTTGCTGTCCTACTTTGGTAATACCCCAATTAAAAAATTCAAGCCTTTATTTTCTCCATCACCTTGCCCCTCTCTTTCTCGTAACCGTCTCTATCTGCACAATTCTCCAAAATGTCTACAATGATTTGATTTGATTTATTGTCATGTGTACCTAAGTACAGTGAAAAGCTTTGTTTACAAGCAGTAAAGGCAGATCATAGTAAGCAAGGACATACAGATCATAGGGTGAGAAAAAAAACTTGGACAGAGGCAAACAGGTTACAATGCACATGGTGAGTGCTAGGCAAGATCAACATTGTTTGAAATTAGAGAGTCCATTCATCAGTCTAACAATGGCAGGGAAGATGCTGTTCTTGACCCTGCTGGTGCGTATGTTTAAGCTTCTGTATCTCTGCCTGACAGAAGAGGTTGTAAGAGATCATTACTGGGGTAGGCTGGGTCTTTGATGATGTTGGCAGCTTTTCCACAGCAACAAGCTGTATAAATGGAGTCCATGGATGGAAGGTTGGCTTCTGTGATTGTCTGGGCTGTGCACATCACCGTCTGTAGTTTCTTATGGTCCTGGGCGGAGCAGTTGCCATACCAGGCCATTACGCACCCAGACTGTATGCTTTCAATGGTGCATCTCTAAAAGTTGGTGAGGGTCCTTGTGGACCTGCCGAAATTCCTGAGCTGTCTGAGGAAGAAGGGGCGTTGTTGTGCCTTCTTCACCGTCGCATCTACACAGGAAGTCCAGGATAGATTGTCAATTATCATCACTCCTAGGAACTTGATACTGTCAAACCTCTAAACCTCAGCTCCATTGATGTAGATGGGGGTGTGTTCTCCTTCATTCTTTATGAAGTCAATGATCAGTTCTTTAGTTTTACTGACGTTGAAAGAGATTGTTCTCATTGCACCACATCACCAAGCCCTCTATTACCCTTCTGTATTCTGCCTTGTCATTGTCTGAAATCTGTCCTACCACGTTGGTGTCATCCGTGAACTTGTAGATGGCACTCATTTGGAATTTGCCAGCACAGCTGTGGGCATACAGTGAGTATAGTTGGGAATTAAAAATCATCCTTGGGGGGCTCCAGGGTTGAATATTATCGTGGAGGATGTGCAGTTGTCCATGGGTTAGAAAACTGAGGATCCAGTCGCACAGGCCAGAGCCGAGACCAAGGTCGCGGAACTTTGAGATCAATCTGGAGGGGATAACGGTGTTGAAGGCCGAGCTGTAATCGATTAGCAGGAGTGTGACGTAGGTGTCCTTGATGTCCAGATGTTCCAGGGATGAGTGCAGGCTAGGGATATGGTATCCTCTGTTGACATGTTACATTGGTAGGCAAATTGTAGAGGTTCAAGACAGGCTGGGAGACTGGAGTTGATGTGGACCATGACCAGCCTTTCAAAGCAGTTCATGATCATGGAGGTCAGAGCCACTGGGTGGTAGTCACAAATGCACATTGCATGTGCTTTCTTGGGTACTGAGATGATGTTGGTCTTCTTGAAGCAGGTGGGGACTGCGGCTTGTAGGAGGGAGAGGCTGAAAATGTCAGTGAATGCCTCCGCCAGCTGGTCCACACAGGATCTAAGTGCTTCAGTTCAGGCCTTTTGCACAATCCTGCCCTTATTTGGTCCACTTTTGCCAGTCTTGTATTCAACTGCTAATGTCAGATACTCCAAAAGCCCACATTCTTAACCAGGTTTTAAGAAGTCTGTCCTACCTATGGAGACGGCTCAGTAACACACCTGTAAAATGCCTTTAAATTCTCTACTGAAGTGTTATTTAAATGGAAGTCCCTGCAGCGCAGAAAAAAGCCACTTAGCCGATCGAGTCTGCACTGACCCTCCAAAGAGTATCCCAACAAGACCCACCACACCCCCACCCTATCCCCATAACCCTGCATTTATCACAGCTGTGGTAAACCTTCTGTGAAACCTGATGAAACTAACACTTAACCAAAAGAACATGTTATTTATTTGTTTATTATCACATGTATTTTGTTACAAAATACAGTGAAAAGTGTTGTACAGTGTCGCCATTCTCCTGCTCCATCTTAAAAGATGGAAAAATAAGCAAACACATAGAACAGAAAGGCAAAAAAAAAAAAAAATAGTGTTCTACTCTACAGTCCTTCTTGTTAAGTGCTTGGCCATGGACTCAACCTAGGTGTATTCCCTCTTTTTCTTCAAATAATTCTTTGCAATCATTGAACAGTCAAATAGAGTTTTAGATAAACTGATAAGATTGCCAATCCTATCGACCCTGCGTTGTTCAAAATCAAATGCTGCCAATAGTTATCATGAATATTTAATGATCTGCAGTGGTGAACTGGTTGACTCTGAACTCATATTCAAAATCATTGTAGACCAGAAGATATAGGAAGAGAGTTGGAGTAGATATGGATAAATGTTTCCTCTTAGTAGAGGGATCAATAACTGGGGGACACAATTTTAATGTAAGGAGCAGGAGGTTTGGAGGGTATTTGAAGAAAACTTCTCATTCCAGAGGGTGGCAGACATCTGGAACTTGCTGCCTAAAAGAGTGGTGGAGGTAAGAACCCTCAAGACTTTGAGAAATATTTAGATATACATGTGAAATGCCATAGCACACAAGGCTACAGCCTGAGTGCTGGAAAATGGGATTAAAATAGATGGATGTTTGATGACCAGCATGGACTTTCTATGGTGTTAAATCTCTACAACATATGACTAGTGAGGCCATTCACCCTTTTGAATCTGATCCACCATTCAATGAGACCATGGCTAATCTGATAATCCTCAACTCAACCTTCTTCTCACTTCCCCCAACCCATGATCTCTTTCCCTCTCAGCTTTGAATATTCGTAAGGACCCAGCCTTGTCTGCCCTGTGTAGTAAAAGAATTCCACAGAATGTGGTTGTTGATCAAATCCATTGTAACGAACTTCTACACAATCTGACTAAAGGACAATGTTACTCATAATATTGTTTGCAGCCAGTCGACTTGAATCAGCCAGACAGATTATTAGCTCAGGAGACTATGCTTGAATAACACCTAGTGTGTGGGGGTTTCAGTGTATCGGGGAAAAGAGATGCTTTAAGTAAAGTTGGTGTGCTTTAAGTCAAATGTGTTAAGCATTTGCCAAATTTAGTAGTACCAGTAACTAGCTTTAACAACAATTGCAAGGCTTATTAGTATTGTTAAAGTTTTCTTTAGCGGTAACAAGGTTAACTAACAAATGAAGGAATGGAAGGGCTTATTTCTGGAAGGTATGCATATTTCTGTGTTGTGCAAGAACTCCAGGGCATTTCCTGTGACCTGGTTAATTATTTGTGCAGGAAATATTATCCGTTGCAACAACTTTAGTTCTGGGCTTCAGAGCTTCAGCAATAGCTGACATCATGGTGCCAATGAGACTGAGAGCTACTTGTCTAATTGAATGTGGCCACTCTGCAGTTTAAGACAATGCAGGGAAACAGTATATTGACAGCCGACAGGCAGTCAGACAGTCCATAAGTCCCCTGAATCTATTCAGCTCTCCAACTAGTATTCAGTTCCAAACAATATGAGAGAGATAGCTCATCTGAAGACTGCAGTAAGTACTTCTGCACAACAGATGGCTCAGCTACACAGAAGGGTTCAAGGAAGAAATTACAGAGAGAAGCAAAACCTGTAGGATATTTCTAATGGGAGTGCGGGCGCTTTACACTGGGGTAGTAGTAATGTAAAGGTCGGAGTCAGGCAAGAGAAGGATTTGCAAACAGTGAGGTGAGATCCCCTGTAGGATCACCAGCCAAAATCTTGTGGTGATGAGCTCTAATGCAGCAATTGCTGTTGTGGAGCTCTGACCAAGTGCTAACAGCAGCAAGGTCCCTTTAAGTCTTGCATTTTTTAAAAAAATAATAGCTTAACTTCTTATAGGCCTGAATCATGATTTTAAAAATTTAATGGGAAGTCTATTTAGAACCTTATGGATTAAACACCTCCCTCACTGTGCCCCCTTCAAACTGTGCCCCACTTCTCACAAACATTTCTCTCACTCCCAATTTCCAAAACCTTTTCCCTATTCATTTCACTGGTTTCCCCTTCACCCTATTCTCGAAGGTCTGGTGTCTTGAAAAACCTTCAAGCACCAAAATAGGATCATAACGGGGAAAAAAGTTTGGGAAGCACAAGTTCCCCTTGTCCTCACTCTTCAACCCCAACAGTGTCTGCATTCAAATGATCATCCTCTGCCATTTTTTGTAACCTATAACAGAATGTTGCACCAAGGTCAGATATGCTGATGATTGCACAATAT